AGGGGTTTTTGCCACCTGAGGGAGAGAAAAAATAATCAGCACCCCACAACATCCCCAACAGATAACAAAGACTCGGAATAGAACAAGGAAGAAGAAATTCAAAAGAAAATTCAAAGGAAATCAGATTGTATGAATGAACAAGCATTTAATGGGCTCCAAGTACTGCACGATTGCCAGCTGAGCCTTTTCGTCTTCCCACAGCTCTGCCAAGCTGCCCTGAATCCTTAGAGAGGGCGAGGACAAGCCTCCAAAAGATGAGTAGGTTTGTCCAAGGTCACATGGTCAGAGAACGACGGAGCTGGGACACAGACCCAGCCTTTCTGACTTCAGATACGAGACAATTTCTTTGGCTTCACAGATACTCTGTTCAAAATTAAAAGCGCGGAAAAGGTGAAGTCAGGAAGTGAAGGTAGGACCTCAGAGGACCCAGAAGGACTCCAAGAATATCCAGACGTCGACCAAAGTACAACTGAAGACTAATTCTGGGAATTTAGTACTTTGAAGCAAATATTATATATTTGCTGGCATGCTTCCAATTTTTAAAAGCAACATTTTAGGTCGGAAGACTCGTAATTAAAGCCCATATGAGCCAGTATCCATGCGTGCACTCCGCTCCATCCAGGAACACATCCACCTCCCCTTCCCAGACGACGTAGTGTCGCTGAGGCACCACACCCCAAAGTGACAGAGATTTCAAATGAGGGCACTTACAAAAGGAAAGAGCCTCAGCGTTTATTTTTAACAGACTTTCAAGTGGCATTCTTTGGACTAAATGTTTCTTCTCTTTAACCATGCTACCCCCGTTCCATCTTCAGAAGGCAGGCAGGCAGGAAGGTCCTGCGGAGAGAGTTTGCTCATGGGTGCTGGAGGGTCAGCAGTCGTCTGATTGGGTCCAGGCTCTCTTTCTCCAATCACGGCACCCTGTGGTTTCAGACCCAAACACAAAGTTCTGGGGTTAAGAGCAATTTCCAAAATCAGAAAAGTAGCTGAGCCTGAAGGTCAAAGCAATCATGCTATCGGGATTAGACCGAGGCTTCCAAGCTGGGCAATGCTAAGTAGTCCTGCAGGACTCTGGATGGAGCAGCTGGGAATACTGGGGAAAGAACTGGATCTGCAGTTAGACCAACTGGGGTGCAAACTGCAGCCTCATACTTGCCTGCACAGTACTCTTGGGTGGTTACCTACCTGTCTGAGACTCAATATCTTTCCTGGTAAAATAAAACAAGGCTGGCCTCCCAGTTGGGAGAGAACCCAGGAAAAGCAAAAGGTACCTAAAAGATGCTCAGGAAATGACATTCCCAGGCGCTGGGCTCCGGAGTCTGACAGCTCTGTGTTTAATCTCTGCTTGGCTCCTTCCACGCTGTGCAGCTCTGGCCAAGGTCCTCACCTCTCTGGACCTCAGTGCTTTTACCCCTGTGACAATAGGGCCAATAACCTCCAGCTCCCGAGGCCCCTGGGAGGTCAGCCGGGGGATGCAGCATCTCTGCATTCTGATGAGCAGCGTGCAGCCGCGTGTGGACAAAGGAATCAACATGGACCGGTTCTACTTTTCTTCATAATCTCCCACCAACGGTGTTGGGTCAAATCCTCCTTTTCCTGCTCCCTTAGTTACAGCCTGACCAAATCTCAGAACCTTTCAGCCACTCTCAGTGATTGGAAAAGTCCCTTAAAGGGACCAAATCCCGTCCGTTTTTTGTTTTTTTAATTTAATTAATTAATTTATTTTTGGCTGCGTTGGGTCTTCGTTGCTGTGCACAGGCTTCTCTAGTTGCGGCGAGCGGGGGCCGCTCTTCGTTGTGGTGCGCGGGCTTCTCATCGTGGTGGTTTCTCTTGTTGCAGAGCGCGGGCTCTAGGCGCGTGAGCTCAGTAGTTGTGGCTCGCGGGCTCTAGGGCGCAGGCTTAGTTGCTCCGCGGCTTGTGGGATCTTCCCGGACCAGGGCTTGAACCCGTGTCTCCTGCATTGGCAGGCGGATTCTTAACCACTGTGCCACCGGGGAAGCCCCCTGTTCATTTTTTACCTTGGTCTCTGGCCTGGTCCTCACCCCACCCCAAGGTGGTCCTAGAGTCTCTGGCAGAGAAGAGCGGGCAGAGGGTCCCACAGGCTTCCTCCACCACTGACCCAGCTCACCTCTCTGGGATGGAAGGTGGGGGGACAGAGGGACAGAGGGCTGTGGCCTCTCCGCAGTTTCTCTGCCTACCCTGAATGCCCAGCGTTACCCTCTGTGCCCCTGGTGTCCAAAGGGCGCTCTCGCCAGCACACGCCTGGGTTCCCATGAAGACCTTCCCACCCTACACGGTGCTGGGGGCTCCAGCTCAGTCTCCAGCCTCCTTTTCCACCCCCAGGACCGTCTTGCTGGGGGACCCGGGCCCCAGCAGGCAGCTCTCTTGGGCAGGACACTGGCAGATGGATCAGGGCCAGCCACCTTCTTCCAAGTGTGCTCAGCTCCCAGGAGGCTCAAGCGTCCTTACCCGGCGGCGGGGACACAGGCCGCGTCACCCCGTCCCCGGCTCATCCTGCTGTTCTCCCTACTGCTTTGTCTCCTCGTCCCAGCATCGCAGCAGATCAGCAGCCGCTGTCCAAGCAGACCCCCCAGCCAGGGGTGGAACGCAGCCCCCCTGCTTGCAGGTGCCCCTCGTATTTACAAGTGATTCTCACAGAGCCCCTGCCCTTGACGGGGGGTGGGGGGGAAGAAGAACAGCTCTCACCTCGCGGAGAAGGCAGCTGACGGGCTGCCGTGGGAAACCTCGGGGAGCATTAAAGCCTGCACTTACCGTCTGCCTGGAGCAGCCCTGCCCCAGCTCAGCCAGTGGCGCTCCTCTTCTGGCTGCCTGCCACCCACCTCAGAGCTGGCCAGAAAAGGCTGCCTGTCCGCATCAAGGAGGCTGCCAAGGACTCTCCATCTACCTGGGCCTCCCTTCTCTCAGCAGCCCCACCGGCTCTCTTTCAGTCTCCTTCCTTTCCCGGCCGCCTGGGCTGGGCAAGGAATCCCACCTTCACAGACCCACCTCCGTTTTCTTTTTCCTCACTGATAATTGACCCCCGTTCCCCTGCATTCATCGGTTCATTCGTTCACTCATGCCACAGACATCTACTGAGTACATACTCGGAATTAAGTCCTGTGTTGGTCCCCGGGAATAGAGGGGCCAGTATGCAATGCACCAACCCTCAAGTTTAGGAGAGGCAACAACTAGGTACAGAGTAAACCAGCAAATTGTCCCCTCCCACCACTATTAGAAGGAGAAAGGGAAGCCAATAGAATTTCATCAGAACAGATGCTCCAGAGATGGGACCATGTCATCCACGTGGCAAGGAGAAAAGGCATGGACAAACTAATGTTATTTCTCTGGAAAGGCAGCCAGGCCAGGGAGGGCAGGAAAGAGCCAGACCTCCTTGGCACGATAACATTATTATTATTATGTTATTCCCCAAAGGCGCAGCCCCAGAGGCAAAAGGAGGCACGGCCTTTCCTCAATATGAGGTTAGACCGTGATGCTTCTAAGAAACATAGATGCTCGCCCTGGGTAAGGTGTGCTGACGTTAGCACTGACATTTCCTCCTACACGTGGACCTAGAGTCCATCACCCCACCTGTCATACCTGGGCCTCCAGGTGAACAGAAGAGCTGGAGGTGAGAGAGACAGGTCAGAAGTGGAATGAGCTGTATCCAGAGGCAGTTCAAGGGAGTGGCTATGGGGACAGCACAGCGTTTGGGCTCTGACCCTGTAACACGCTCTGCGCTTTGCCTCGCCCCCTTGGAAAGAAGAGCACGCCCTCACCTTGCCAGAGGGGCTGGTCTGGTACAGGCTGATGGGGGCGGAGGGCAGGTGACCTCAGGAAGGAGCACCTCCCATGCGCTGTCATCCGTTGCCAACCTTAACAGAGAACAGACTGGTGGGGCATTGGCCACCACCCCCAGCCCTCTACAGATTGCGTGGGTCACTTTCTGCTACTGGCAGCAGCTGAGGACACTCCCCCAAGCCCCTGGTTAAAGCCCAGATTCTAGAGATAAGAAGACCAGCATCATGATTGCCCCACCAAGCTCCTGGGCTCACCCTATGCCACAGGAATGGGAGCAGGTGAGGAAACACCAGGATCGTATGAGCAAATCAGTGAAATCAGCCTTTGCTAGTGCTGAGACAGGAATCTACCCAGGGACCTAGAGGGCCCTCACATCTCCCTGACGGGGTTCCCAGGAATCGTCCCCAGGAGGTGTGGCTCACGGCTAAATCTAGAGAGCTCAGTAGAAGGAAAAGAATGTTCTCAACAAAAGGGGCTCCTTAGATCATTCGTTCACTCAACAAACGCCTCTGTGTGCCTACAAGGCTACCGCGATGGGTTTGCCCCATCACCGACACCCCCGAGCCTCACAGCCTGGAGCAGAGAGGGTGGGTCAGAGTTATTCAGTACGAAAGGGAATAAGGTGGAGGCTCTGCGCAGTGCCCCGGTGCCCCCGGGAGCTGAGGGACTTCACGCTTCCACCTGCTGGAGAGGTCTGAGCGCTTCCGTTGCCCGGATGAGACTTGAAGGCTTCCACCCAGAGGGTGAGAAAAAGCTTGCAGGCAGTTTGGAAGAGCAAGGAGAGCCCTGAGCGCCAGACTGGAGCTCCAAGTCCAAGAAGGCCTCCCTTTTAAGCGAGGGAGTCGTACTCTCAGACCTGCATGCTAGAGAGATCGCTCAGGCCGTCACCTGAAGGTGGACCAAAGAGAAACAAGGCTAGCTGAGAGGCTGTTACGACAGGCTGATGGACAGGAGGTGAAGGCATAGAAATCTTCCACAGGAGCCCGGAGAAACTTGGGATGGGGCAAAAGCAGGAGCCCCCCACCCACAAAAGCCCTCAAGGGTGAGGAATGGTGATAAACCGGGGCTCAGTGAGGGGCAGAGTTTTGTCCTCTGTTAATTCATCCAGTCCTCGGGGTAACGTGGCCTCAGGGTAACAAGCAGATGTGAATGTCCCCACGAGAACAGAGCTGGGATGCCGCTTAAATCACACAGCTGGGACTTCCCTGATGGTCCAGTGGCTAGGACACCACACTCCCAATGCAGGGGCCCCGGGTTCGATCCCTGGTCAGGGAACTAGATCCCGCATATGGGCCTCAACTAAAGATCCCTCCACGTGCCGCAACTAAGACCCCACGCAGCCAAATAAATAAATATTTTTTAAAAAGAAAAAAGAAAAAACTCACACAGCAAGTCAGCATCAGAGCTGGGCTCGACCCCCAGGCTCCGGACTCTCCAGCCAATGTCCTTTCCACAGCTGCCCTTCCCCTCCCCAGACCGTTCTGTGCCAGAAAGTATCAGAAGGTGGATGTGACGTGCGTCCCCATAGAGGACATGAGGTCTCAGAGAATCAATGAAGACATTTCTCCCCTCGTGGAAGTGCTATCCGTACATTTAAATTGGTATCCTTATAATCAGCTTAAGGGCTTTTTATTTTAATACAGCAGCTGAGAGGCAAAATCAGGTCCCACTTCAAGTGCTACTAAAATCTGCTGTGTGGGCAGCTCTCCGGAGTGGAAATGAGGCACCCTTAACAGCTACCCACACAGCAGCCTAATTTTCACTCAGCAGTCGTTATTGGAAAAAAAAAAGAAGAAAAGGTGACTCAAAGCCACCAGCAACTTTGAATTTAACTTCTGAAGATCTCCAGTGATGGGGCGGGGACTCATCCAAGAGGTCAGAGCACAGAACCCAGCGAGGGTGGGGCTGGACTCCAGCTTTGGACCCAGTCAAGGTCTCGTGCGCCTGGTGTGTCCTGCCGTTCCGCACTACCCCTCGGTCGCTATTCTCTGGACAAAGGTGTGCGTGGCCGCCCACGAGCCCACGTCTACACCTGACCCCGGAACCGCAGTTGTAAACTCATCTCTCACAAGGCAGCCGTGAGGGTCCGGGAGGAGGTGAAGTCGGTCCTCCCCCATCCAGGGAAACTTGATTCGTCCTTCGGCCTCATGACAGCTCTGCCTCTGCGGCCCCGTCACCTCCTGCCCATGTCACTGGGAGGGGGCAAGCTGGCCCTTCTCCCTCCTCCCTCCCCTCAGGCCTCTGGTCACACTGGGACCTCCCAGGGATGACTTCCTGGCTTCTGGGGCAGGGGTGGGGTGAGGTGGGGGGCACAGGGACAAAGCAACCGACCAGGATGGATGAGAGTGAACCTTTCCCCAAAGCTTTCAGACACGGGACTAATGATCCTGCGCCCCCTCTGATGGAGGAGCTGGCCTCTGAGTCAGAGCAGAAGGGCTCCAGAGCAGGAAGCTCCCACGCCAGGTGAGCTGTGAGCGACCCCAAGCTGGGACCCCGCCCTCAGCGCTCAGACGGGGTGAGACAGGTGCACAGAACCAGAGACAGACATGATTCCTGACCCAGCTGTCTATCCCACACGCATCCTCAGTAAGAGACATCCTGTAGCCCCCAGCAGGACCACGCCCACCGCCCACCTGAAGGGTCCTTTGCATTATCACCTGCTGTGCTGCCTGTCTCCCTGCAGGCTCCATTCACACATCTTCACATTTCAAGAGGCCAAGTTTTGAAAGAGAACAGCTGCTTTTTATTTCTTAACATTCACAGAGTTTCTGGATCTATGAGAGAAAGAAAAAGGGAGAGAGACAGAGCAAGAGAAAAAAAAAATTCACATATGGTTAAAAAAAATTTTTAAACCAAGCATGATATTTAAAAGATGAAATGTCCCCTATCTCTCCCCATCACCTAGTCTTGGTTCCCCTGACAATATACAAATATCACTGTTTTGCAATTTGACTCCTGATTCTACAGATGAAATATTTAGCTCACAACTATCTTTTACCTCTCTTATCTTCCAGAATTTTCTTAGTTATGACAATAGTTTCTGTTGGATTAATTTAATGCATTTGACTCTAAAAATAAACAGAAACCTCTATCTCTTGTTTCAACACCTATAGACAGTGTTTGTCAGTTTTCTACCATGTAAGGTGAAGGAAATGTTTCTCCGACGCTACTCTCCCCTGCTCCATCTTCCAGGCTCCCTGTTTTGTCAGCACCATGGTTACTTTTAATTTACCAGGCCTTATAATATTACTATGTTTATTAATTATCTATATCTAGATAATTATGTATCTATAATTAACCCTGTGTCAACAACTTAATTGCCTATAGATTCATTTTAAAAAACTAAAGTCAATGGAATTGATATTATAATTATACAAATATTACCTTCGGTAAAGAAGGGTGATTCAATACATAGAGAAGGAAACATAATTCAATGTCATTAGAAGCTTCCTCCCCATGAGGTGGTGCTACCTCTGGCAGGTCTGCATCCTTGGGTCCCCCTTGCTGTCCTGCACACCAGGTTCTTGGTCGCCCCATGTCTGTCTGTGTGGCCACATCCCTGTCTTCTGAGAGGAAGCAAGAAAGCTTATAACATGGGTCAAATCTGATACGTCAAATGATTAATACTCCACAGCAACCAACTGCAATGGGCGTGTTCCCTGTGGATTTCCGAAATTGTAACCGAGCAGGACCCTATGAGACCTTCCCGAAATAGACTCCCACCCATGTCCTCCGCCTGCCTTTTGTCTGTAGAAAAACTTTACTCAAAGAATAAATTTAATCGGAGAAGTGACAAAACGCAGAAAGAAAGGAAACCAGTCAAGCAAGACAAAATAATAATACTTTAGCCATTAAACAACGTCAAGGACCTTTAGTTCCTCCCCAAGGACTAGAGATAATATACTGAGCCGTCTCCTTTGAGCTGTTTTGCAGATACTGAAACCCCCATTGGGTGGGAGGAGTGAACTGTATGCTGCCCACAAGCATGTAGACCCCAGACCGTTTGGAACCAGAAGGTGGATGATGCTGACTCCCCATTACCTCATCACCAACCAATCAGATATGTCCACGAGCTGATCACCCTCCGCTCCTTGACTGTTCACTACCCTCTCCAGAACGGGACACACTTGTTTTTTTCTTTTTCTTTTCTTGCGGTACGCGGGCCTCTCACTGCTGTGGCCTCTCCCGTTGCAGAGCACAGGCTCCGGACGCGCAGGCTCAGGGACCATGGCTCACGGGCCCAGCCGCTCCGCGGCATGTGGGATCTTCCCGGACCGGGGTACAAACCCGTGTCCCCTGCATCGGCAGGCGGACTCCCAACCACTGCGCCACCAGGGAAGCCCCTGATTTAACATTTTTACCAGACATGGCTTTGCACTACTTCAAATCCTCTTGGCCCTATGTTCTACTCCAACTACTGGGAGAGCAATAGCACATCAGCTTTAACCATCTGTGCATAGCTACAACCTGACAGTACCTAACCCGGCCATGGACACTTCCTCCTGCTCCCTGCTTGATGATTTGACACCTCAACACGAAACTGCTTTGTTCTTAAAGTCATTCTTTAATCTCTTCCTTTGTTTCCTGTTTTCCAGTCCCACTGCAAAGCTGTGTTCCTGACATTTATTTCCCTCATACACCTGAATTAGATCCAGTTTCCTGGAGCTTGTGCTTTGATTTTAGTAGATCCCTTTTAAGTTTGCTGGAGTTCACCCTTATGTAGCTGTGTGTCTGTACGTATTTCTCTTAATGTACAGGAGATAAATGTTTTTAACGCCTTCCGTGTAGGAAAATGTCTTCATTTTCCCATAAGCTTCATGATCATTTGACTAGGTATAGAATTCTGGTTTCAGAATTATTAGAAATGGAAGTTTTGACTGAGACCCAAAGAAAACAGATACCACATTCCAAACGGAGGGGCAAGACCACCGTATTTTTTTCCTGTGGCTGCTGTGACACATCTCCACAAAGTAGCAGCTTTGAAAAACACAGATTTATTTATTTATTTATTTTATTATTTTTTTTGCGGTACGCCGGCCTCTCACTGTTGTGGCCCCTCCCCTTGCGGAGCACAGGCTCCGGACGCGCAGGCTCAGCGGCCACGGCTCACGGGCCCAGCCACTCCGCGGTATGTGGGATCTTCCCGGACCGGGGCAGGAACCCGTGTCCCCTGCATCGGCAGGCGGACTCTCTACCACTGCGCCACCAGGGAAGCCCAGATTTATTATCTTAAAGTCCTGGTAAGTCAGAATTACCCCAACTCCATTCATTAGATAGTTCATCCTTCCTTCACTGACCTTCAGTACCAGCTCTGTCAACATCACCTTCCCACACACGGGCAAGACATTTTGGAACCTCTTTGTTCTGCTCCCTGAGCTCTGCTTGTCCATCTCTGAGTCAACAAAAAACTGCCTTAGTAGCCCTTGCTGTGTGACATGCTTGGGAATCCAGAGGGCAAGCTCTGCCCCACACCCCACTACCCCCGCCCCAATCTGGTTTTCCTCCAAGGAGTTCTTGAGTGTTCTTGGTCTATTATTCTTCTGTGTAGATTTTAGAATAATCTCATTGAGTTTAACTTTAAAATCCTATTGGAGTTAAAAATTTTTTTAATCTAAAAAATGAAAATTATATTTAATCTATGGATCAGTTTTGGGAGAATTCATATCTTTATGATGTTGAGTCTTTCTGTCCATGAACATGATATACCTCTAGGTTTTCCAAAATGTCACTCAGTAAATGTTGCCATTTTCTCCACAAAAATCATGCATATCTTTTTTTAGATTTATTTCTAGGTTACTGGGTTTACTTTTGTTTGCTTTTATAGCTATCCTAAATGGTATTCTGTTTTAAATGACGTTTTATAGCTGTCTGATATATGGTCTAAGGAAATACAGTTTTTTAATTTAAAAAATAATCCACAAATTTAAGGTCAATTAATTTACGACAAAGGAGGCAAGAATATCCAATGGAGAAAACACAGTCTCTTCAATAAATGGTGCTGGGAAAACTGGACAGCTACATGTGAAAGAATGAACTTAGAACATTCTCTAACACCATACAGAAAAATTAACTCAAAATAGAGTAAAGACCTAAATGTAAACTAGATACTCTAAAACTCCTAGAGGAAAACATAGGCAGAACACTCTTTGACATAAATCGAAACAATATTTTTTTGGATCTGTCTCCTAAAGTAAAGGAAATAAAAGCAAAAATAATCAATAAACAAATGGGATCTAATCAAACTTAAAAGCTTTTGCACAGCAAAGGAAACCATA